GCGTGGGGTTGATAAAACTGACATTCTTCCATTTATAACCTTTTGTAAGCTATTGAAATGCCATATAAAGTTTTATTGATGTCTGATTCAGTGTGATGGGAAAGGGGGAAGGAGTTAGGATGATTGAGATTTTGAACCAGAGCGATGGAGGTAATAAGTGGTACCATGAACGAAAAAAGAAAACCAACAGGAGAAGCAGATTTGGAGAAACATGACATTCTGTTTTTTACATGTTGAGTTTAAGATCATGCCAGAACATCAAGGTGGAATTAATAAACAGATACGGAACTTAAGATTTGGTACTCTGAAAAAAAGATCAGAAATGGTAATAGGAAATTAGAAGTTATCCACATAAGGATAATAATTAAAGCCATGAGAGTGAGTGAGATCACTGAGAGAGAACATAGAAAACTAGAGTAGTGAGGACAGAGAAGGAGAGAAGTAAAGGGAGGGGAGGAAATCAGCACTTAGTGAGCACCTATTAAACTGTGTGCCAGCTGCTCTACATTTGTTATCTCATTTATTCCCCTCAAATTCCAGGGTAGCCATTTTAGCCTCATTTGGTAGAGTGACTGAGGACTCACAGCAAGACAAAGAACCAGCATTTAAAACCAGCTTGACTCCAGTTTATGCAGTGCACTACACCGTTAGTGGAGAGCCAAGTGTCTCTTGCGGAAGCCTGTGGGGAGAATTTGAGTCAAGGAAATATAAGCCCGAAGCCGGCCCGGTGGCGCAAACGTTTAAGTGCACGCGCTCCGCTGCAGCAGCCCGGGGTTCGCCGGTTCAGATCCCGGGTGCACACCGTCGCACCGCTTGGCAAGCCATGCTGTGACAGCGTCCCATATAAAGTTGGAGGAAGATGGGCATGGATGTTAGCCCACGGCCGGTCTTCCTTAGCAAAAAGAGGAGGATTGGCAGATGTTATCTCAGGGCTGATCTCCTCACAAAAAAAAAAAAGGAAAGATAAGCCCTGAAAAAAGACCATTGAATTTTTGTGACCAAGGGGTTTCTGGAACATGTGTAGCAGCGCCTGCACTCTCCTGTGTGTTGTGCTTCTATGAGGGTGGGTAATCCAGACATATATTTGCGTTCTAGACCTCTGGCAATAAGAAAAAAGTCAAGATGGTAACTGTAAAAATTTAGTATAATGAAAACAAAGTGAGTTATTAAAACCTAGCTAGATACTCTTGTCAGCCAAGTGCTTTGAATCTGAAGGCTTGGAAGAGAAACGGGAATAACTCACTATGTGATGTGTTGTTTGCCGCTTGTTTCATGTACTGCCTAGAACCGTCTTGAGTATCACCATCTTGAGTGGTATGGGTCCTTCACCTTGGGCAAAACTGGAGTGTTATATAATAATGTTCACTGTTTACAGTGCAGTTTCAGTCGCTTAAAATTCTAAGGGAAAAGACCAAGGTGGCTTTGCCAGGCAAGGTCATTAAAACTTGGAATGAAAGATAATTTCTACTGGTTGATTTACACACCTTTTGGAAAGCAGCAGTATCACCTCAAAATTTAAAGTAATCCACTGTAATCGATGAGGAGGACTTTTCCCTAGTAGGTTTATTAAAACAGTTTATTTACTGTTAGAATAGCATTTTAACATGAAAGAAAAATATTCCACCACAACACAATTACTGGTTTCCTCCTGCATGTTTTTAGATTTACAGATGAATAATGTATGCATTTTTGGCAGAGAGAGTGCTGGAGAATTTTAAATTGATTGCAGGAGTATGATGTCTTCTGTCTTTGTCTCCTCCCTTTTCTGAGTTCTAAGCAAGTGAAATTCTTGGGCAAAGTCACTGATCTCAAAATCCCCAAAGCGGCACTTTGATTTCCAGGAATTAGTTAGGCACAGCCGCTTCACTCAATCTCCTATTTTATACCCCAGAGTTAAGGCTGCATTTGGGCAACCTTATTTTCTTACTCTATTTTAAGGCAGTGGGCATTTAATAATTGTTGGTTGGTTGTGGCTTCCAGCCAGATTTTTAAAAATTGAGTAGATAATCTATCCACTGGTGCAAAAAACTTTTTAAACATCATCTGTCTTCCATCTATATAGTTCCCACCCCCAAGGTAACCTCTACTCTTATTTTCTTTTGTATTCTTCCAGAGTTTTTTTCATTCCTACACATGTAAGAATAAATATTCTTATTTTTCCCCATTTTTATAGAACAGGGAGGATACCATATACATTCTTCTGCACTTTGCATTTAAGACATCTTGGGCTTTTTCATATAAAGGTATAAAATGTATCATTTTTCTTATCCCTGCAGATTATTTAACCAATCATTATCCAATTGAAAGACATTGAGTTTCTGATCTTTTGTATTCTGTTTAGTGCTTGGATGAGTATCTTTGTACACACATCTTCTTTTCTTGTATATTTAAGTACGTCTCATCTTAGTTCCCGGAGTGGAATTGCTCTGCAAAAAGGCATAAGTGAATTTTTAATTTTGAAAGGTATTGCCATATTGCCCTCCGCATACCAAATGTTTCTCCACAGCATTGCTGATAGACCCGAATGTTACCAAATTCTTAGATTTTTCCCTGCCAGTTTTTGCATGGCAGATTATTTCAAGTCCTACCTAATATTTTCAGGATCAATAACAAAATCAGTTGGTTAAATTGGGGGAAATGAGGTTCAGTTTTCAGAATTTGTTCAGGATACAGAAATTCTGTGCTGCAGCTCCTGCAGCTACACACCCACAACTAGTCAACACATGGTTGCTTATGCAGCTGAAGCAGCTAGCAAACCTGGAAACGGGCCAAGAATGACTACAAACTGCTCCACCTACACTTTTTTTTTTTTTTTTGGGCAAATTTGCAAGCCTAGCAGATCTAAAAAGATCCTTCAGCCTTTGTTTGAATTGCAGAGAATCAACCTTGTAAGAGGGAGGAAATTATTCATTTCTTCAAAATTTCCCCTAATATGATAGGAGCTGAAAATGATTTTTATTTAATATCGCTTCAGTGCTGAGGTGGCACAGGGAGGGGGAAAGTAGAGATATTAGGGCTGTGGGTTCCACCTGCGCTGGGGGTTGTGTTAGAGTGTGAAGAAAGATTTCTAGAAATGATGATCTCCGTTACTTAGAACCAAATTAACTTAGGGAAAGGATAAGAGTTAGATGTGGCATGCTAGCTTACTGGCTTTTCAAATTTTTTAATCATTTTATAAATTTGTAGATTTGCTATGGACTACATGTGAATCACCAAAATCCATAACCCCTAACCCCTAATGTGATGGTATTTGGAGATGGGAACTTTGGGAGGTAATTAGGGTTAAATTAAATCATGAGAGTAGGTTCCTCATGATGGGATTAGTGGCCTTATAAGAAGAGGAAGACAGAGAGGTCTCTTAGCTGGAGCACAGAGGAAAAGCCATGTGAGGACACAGTGAGGAGGCTGTCTGCAAGCCAGGACCAGAGCTCTCAGCAGGAACCACATCGGCCAGCACCTTGATCTTGGACTCCCCAGCTTCTAGAACTGTGAGGAATAAATTTCTGTTGTTTAAACCACTCAGTCTATGGTAGTTTGTTATGGCAGCCTGAGTTGACTAAGACGGTGTATCTCTAGTTTTCCACAGATTCATAAAGATCCATCCAAAAAAATTATAACTATTAATAATGTCTTTCTTCAAATTAACTGCAACCAACATATCGTCTGTGTAGTTCCTGCACGATTTGGAAACAATGAACTCTTTAGGCATGGCAGGTGACTTGGGAAATCTTTCACTTGGTTTAATACCCCCAAATTTTAATTTGCATCTCAGGAGTGGCTTGGAATTTGGAATCCTTCTGTCTCCTGAGTTGAAATAAGTGGTATATAAATGCAGGTGTAACCTCATTAATGGGCTGTAAGTTAGTGTTACACTCTTGTGATTGATTGGATGTTTAATGATACTAAGGAATCGTGTTACTTTTGTTGAACTGTGATGTTTTGTTATGATAATGTTATGGTTAAGCTTTTTAAATGAGAATCTTAGACATTGAAATATTTAAGAGGAAATGATATATCTGGGATTTGTTTTAGAGTAATCTGGAGTTGTGAAATGGTATAAATTGTGACAATATGAAGTTAATAAGAAAGGTCGGATGATAATTGTAGAAGCTGGATGATGGGTGCTTGGGGGTTTTTCCTATTCTTTCTACTTCTGTATATGTTGAAATTTTTTATACGAAAAAGATTGTTTAACTAATTTGAGTGTGTTTAACTAATCACTACAGTTATGCTTTGTCTTACTGTTCGTTATTCTGAGTAATTCTGACACCTGCTGAAATCATATAGAATCTTCAACTTAAGTGTCTTATTACCAAGCATGGAAATTAAAATGCTGGGCATCCCCTGTGTACATTGCAGCATTATTCACAATAGCCAAGACTTGGAAGCAACCTAAGTGCCCATCAAGGGACGAATGGATGAAGAAGATGTGGTATATATACACAATGGAATACTACTCAGCCATAAGAAACGATGAAATCCAGCCATTTGTGACAACATGGATGGACATTGAGGGTATTATGCAAAGTGAAATAAGTCAGAGGGAGAAGGTCAAATACCGTATGATCTCCCTCATTAAGTAGTAGATAATAAAACAAACACACACATAGAGACAGAGATTGGATTGGTGGTTACCAGAGGGGAAGGGGGGAGGGAGGAGGGTGAAAAGGGATAATTCAGCACGTGTGTGTGGTGATGGGTTGTAATTAGTATTTGGGTGGTGACCATGATGTAATCTATGCAGAAATAGAAATATAATGATGTACACCTGAAATTTATACAATGTTATAAGCCAATGTTACTGCAATAAACAAAAAATTTAAAATAAATAAATAAATAAAATGTTGGGCGTTAGTACACATTGGACTTCACTTACCGTACATTTTTTTAGCAGCTACTAAATGCTTTCACATTTAATCTCTGCAAAGGTAGATGTTATCTCCATTTTATAAATGAGAAAATGCAGACTCTAGATAAAGTAATGCACAGGTAGAAAATAGAAAAATTAGGATTTTTTTTCTCATTTGGTTTGCCTCCCAAAATTCTTGTTTTATTTTTACTATACCATGCTGCTTCTCAGACATGACTGACTGCCCTTTCTTCCATGGTGATTTCCTTTTAGAAGTGAAAGCCTGGCACAACAGGTAGATAGACTCACATGTGAAAGATTTCTGGGGTCTTTTCCTCTGCTTTCCTATTAAGGCAGCTAGAGTCACAAGGCAGGTGTTAAAGTTATACTGTACCTTAAGGAAACCATAGAACAGTGAACCCATAAAATTCTAGACCTAACTCACCAAGCTTTGGTTCTCCAAGAATTCATTTGACCATTATTACATGTATTTGTGTCAGTTACTGTTCAAGATAACTGATAGTCTCATCTCACTTTCAGAACAGAAATTAAGAGCTCAACTTTAGGGGCATTATGCTAAGTGAAAGAAATCAGATAGAAAGACCAATACTATATGATCTCACTTATATGTGAAATCTGAAAAAACCAAACTCATAGAAACAGAGTAAATTGGTGGTTGCCAGGGGTGGGGTAAGGGGAAGCGTGGTGGAGGGGGTGGAATGGGTGAAGGTGGTCAAAGGGTACGAACTTTCAGTTAGAAGATGAGTAAGTTCTGGTGATCTAAGGTACAGCATGGTGACTATGGTTAACAATACTGTATTGTATACTTGAAAGTTGCAGGGGCCGGCCTGGTGGCGCAAGCGGTTGGGTGTGCGCGCTCCGCTGCGGTGGCCCGGGGTTTGCCGGTTCTGATCCCGGGCGCGCACCGACACACTGTTTGGCGAGCCATGCTGTGGCGGCGTCCTATGTAAAGTGGAGGAAGATGGGCACGGATGTTAGCCCAGGGCCGGTCTTCCTCAGCAAAAAAGAGGAGGATTGGCAGATGTTAGCACAGGGCTGATCTCACCAAAAAAAAAAAAAAAATGTTGCTAAAGGAGTAGATCTTCAATGTTCTCACCACAAAAGAAATATCCAAGGTAGAGATAATGTATATGTTAACTAACCTTATTGTGGTAATCATTTCACAATATATATGTATATCAAATCATCATCTTGTACATCTTAAACTTACACAATGTTATGTCAATTATATCTCGGTAAAGCTAAGGGAGGAAAAAAGCTCAGTCCTAGCATACTGACTTCTGTCCTCCTCCTTCCTGCATCCCCACTCCGCCCTGTTGAGTTACATCCCCTTAGAAGCCATGCCTATGCAGCTCAGGAAATGGAGTAACTGCAAGGTAGAAATATCCCCAAACTAACACCGGGCTTGCTCTCTCTTTTCTCTTCCCAAGGACATGCCAAGTCTGCGATATAAGGCAGCTTGGGACAACCCCTTACTCCCAAGCCAGTCTTAACAATGGAGCTTTAAGAATACTTGTGTATAGTATGGCAGAGTTTAACGAAAGTCCAACCCTAAAGTGTGTGGAGGGAAGAGCACAGATTTTATAAGCACTTGTGGTTAAAGCAAGACTTGAATCCAAGAAGGGTCCACCCATTGAGGCCTTAAGTGGGATCTGGGCATTTACACTCCCTTTATTCTGCCTCACCCACCCATCCCCCCAAATAAAAAGCAACATAGTTAGGCAAATCTAGACTCAACTGTGCTTAAAACAATCCCTTACTGATAAGCCCACAGAGTGGGTCGTGTGAGATAGACTTGCAGCTCCATGGTGCACTTTCCCTGCCCCCGCATGTCTGCATCTCCAGGCCAGAGAAGTTCACACAACAGAGTTCATAAGAGCACAAACTCCGGTTTTATCCAGAGGTGTCCTTTGACAGGCAAAAACAGAATCATCGAAGAAGCTATACCATTTTTGAGTCTAAAAAAAAGGTTTGATACTTGAGCCCAAAGAGATGGAAAACTAGGAAATGAGAAATTGAGAGTTTCAAGTTAGAGTAAGAGAACACCTACAGATTATTTAAGGGCATAAATTCAAAAATGCCCCTGCCCAACCTCCTGAGAAGGCTTTCAGTAGGATGTGAGACTGAGAGCTCCTTTTCCCAACCAGCTAACCCACCTCTCCCTGCAACAGGCAAACAGTAGGTGAGGTAATGTATTATTTAGTAAAACATTGAAACCCAAAGTCTTGGTTTAAATTTAGATTTTTTTTGTTTTTCATGTGTACTAAAAACTGATTTGTCTGCTCTTCTGCCATCTGTACAAACGTGCATACAGGACCTAGAAGAAGGTACTTAAGTACCCCTCTGCCCATTAAACTCTTCAAATGAGACTCATTTTGCTTTCCTCCTCCAAGGTACCATCTTTCTCCAATAGTACAGGCTCAAAACTCTTCATTTTTTTTGTTTAGTTTTTATTTCATAATCATAAACTTAACTCTGCAATCCCCCTAAACTTGGAAGGGAATGAGAGAATATGGAACCCAAAGAGCTGCAGTGAGAGCACAAAGGTTAGAGGATATAGTGAGCAGATAGGGTGGCAGGCGCTCTCCTGAGCTGCAGAAGGAATGTCTGGAGGTTAAGATAAAACATAAGTCAAATTTATTGGAGTTGTCCACAGTCAGCAATAGTGAGCTTCTTGGTCCTGCCATTCCTGAAACCAAGCACTCCACGGCTTCCACAGTATTCATGCCCTCTGCCACCTTGCCAAAGACCATGTTTGCCATCCAACCACTCAGTCTTGGCAGTGCAGATGAAAACAGTTCTGGGAACCGTTTGTATTGGGTCCAGCATTTGCCATGGACAAGAAGCCGGGACCCATATGCCTCAGGATGAAACACTCATCATCAAGTTTCTTCCTGCAGGTGGACTTGCTGCCAGTGCCAATGTGGCATGTGAAGTCACCACACTGGCACATAAACCCTGGAATAATTCTGTGACAGCAGGAAACTTTATAACTAAATCCTTTCTCTCCAGTGCTCAGAGCATGAAAGTTTCCTGCTGCTTTTGGAACTTGGTCTGCAAACAGCTCAAAGGAGAGGGCCCGAGGGCTCGCCGTGGACAGCGATGTGGAAGAACAAAGTGGGGTTGAACAAAGAGCAAAGTGGGGTTGACTGTGGCTCAGTGGCAGTGGTGGCAGTGTCTGCAAAGCCGAACATTTTTCATTCTTTAATTCAAATTGCTTGTCCTCCCTGGAAAGAAATCTCTGTTTTATTTATACCTTTATCTCCGCAAGCAAGGACTTTACCCTAAATAAGCCTTTATCACTTTTCTTTCAGATTACTGAGTCTTGTTGCCCTCTTTGAATTTAATTTATTGCTGCCCCTAGACTTTGCTGCCTGCTGTGATCTTCATCAAATATTGCTTTCAGCTTGAGCCTCCTCATTACCCTACAGGGTATCTAGGTGGACATCTAGGCTCATTCCTGATCTGGCGCTATCCAGCGCTGGGGTTGAGCAGACCCGCAGTCAAGGATGATAGTATGTGAAAACACCTAGCATAGTTCCTGGCACATGGCCAGCACTGTTAGCTTCTTTTTCCTCCACTTATCAAGTTAGTTTCTTTACTGCCCCCAAAGACTACCAAGTCTTTGAGTTCATATCTGCCTCAGGAATTATTCTCCCTCCAAGAAATGTATTCACTCTAATCTTCTGCCTCTCCAAATCTATCAAACGTAAACAAATTCAAATTCTACCTTCAAATTCTAAAACAACCTTGAAGGTCACAAAAGTAAGAACAAATGGAAAACTATACCTTGTTCTTGGCTAAGAAATTCAACATCATGAAAACATTGTGTCTTTATTTAACATATGTCAAAAATACAAGATTCTTTGGGGATCCATGGAAATGGGATGAGGGGAGCCAGCCAAGTGGATTCTAAAGCTCATATGGAAAAAATAAGCACAAATGGACAGAAAACCCTGGCAAAGAAGAACAACAGGGGGAGACTAGCATCTGCTAGATATTAGATTGTAAAGCTTAAAGGGCACTAATCCACCCTCATGACCTAAACACCTCCCAAAGGCCTTGCCTCCAAATACCAGCACATCGGGGATTAGGTTTCAACATATGAATTTTGGGAGGACACAGACATTCAGTCTAGAGCACCAAATATTTATCTATAGGGACTACAGAAAAAGGAATCTATAAGTACTGATAGGGAAACATCTCCAGCTTAATATAAACAATATATCAAGTTTAAAAAGGAAGGTGCAGAGGGGGCCGGCCGGTGGCGCAAGCGGTTAAGTGCGCGCACTCCACTGCCGCCACCCGGGCTTTGCTGGCTCGGATCCCAGGCGCGCACCGACACACTGCTTGTCAAGCCATGCTGTGGCGGCGTCCCATATAAAGTGGAGGAAGATGGGCACGGATGTTAGCCCAGGGCCAGTCTTCCTCAGCAAAAAGAGGAGGATTGGCAGATGTTAGCTCAGGGCCGATCTTCCTCACCAAAAAAAATAAAAAAGGAAGGTGCAGAAAGTGTCTATCGTGTGCTATCTTATAATAAAGGGAGAATATATGTATATGAATGTATTTGCTTGTATTTATATAAAGAACCCCTCAAAGAATCCCTGAGATACTAATAAAAGTTGTTACCCATAAACGTAAGCCCATGGGGACAGTGATAGGAGCATGACTTTTCAATGTGCACCTTTTGATATTGTTTTTTAAACCATATGAATTAAATGTATTTCCTTTTTTATATGTAAAGGCTTTCCCCATCTATAAATAGAAACATAAAAATTAAGAGTTGGGAAGGGGCCAGCCCCGTGGCTTAGCGGTTGAGTGCGGGTGCTCTGCTGCTGGCGACCCGGGTTCGGATCCCGGGCGCGCACCGATGCACCGCATGTCAGGCCATGCTGTGGCGGCGTCCCATATAAAGTGGAGGAAGATGGGCACAGATGTTAGCTTAGGGCCAGTCTTCCTCAGCAAAAAGAGGAGGATTGGCATGGATGTTAGCTCAGGGCTGATCTTCCTCACAAAAAAAACGAGTTGGAAAGGCCTTCAGAGATCACCTAAAAACAGTTTCCTTATTTTAGAAGTGAGAAAATGAAGGACTATAAGGGGGAAATGTTCTGCATGAGGTAACATAGCTAGTTTGTTACAGAACTGAAATACAGATTTCTTGATGAGTGCTTTTCAGTCTCGATAGGTGCCGTGGACTGCCTACTCGAGTCCGTGCTGATCTCCCTTTTTACCAACTCACTGATGGTTTGCTGATTATTTCATGTGTCTTAATTTCTCCTCATAAGTGTTTACATCTTCAGGGGTATTCCTCTGTGTTTTCTATAGAACTTCACGCAGTATTTGGCCCATAACTGCTCTGTTCATTTATTCAGCAATTTATTGAATGTTCACTAAATGCCAGGTGCACTGTTATGTTTCATGAATGCATAGCTGTCAGTTGGAATACTGGAAGTGGAGGTAGAAGTTTTAATCCTCATTCTAAGCATTGAACTTAAAGGCAATAAATCATCTGATGCAGTCACCTACCTATGTCAAGCCATATTTAAATTTTCTTTCTTAATTATTATTCTTCTTGGGGTAGGGCCTAAGCAGTGGGTGACATATATCCTGCTGCTCATATATAGGTGTTAGGTGGACAAGACATCAAGGTGACTGATCAAGCCCAGTGTTAGGTAAACAGAACCCTTTGCCTACCTGCTGCTGCTAACCCATAGATTCCCCTTCTGTCCTACTTCTGGGGATAGGCTCACACTCGTTTTTCAGGAAATGTCTAGAAAAGACTCTCTTCTGGGACCCTGTCCTCTATTTCTATCAACAGTCTGCCCCATGCCAGACTGTCAGTGTCGTGAAGGCAGGAAGCATTTGTTTCTTTGTATTCTTAGCACCTGTTACAGTGCCCAACACACTTTAAATGTTAGTTGAACTGAACCAAACATGTCTAGAGCCATACACATACTATACTTAAGATCCAAATGTGTCCTCTCCAGTGTGTTTCCTACTAGACTGCATTTTGCTTGATTTCCAATCTGTTTTAATATTTCTGATTTCCAGCTATAAATCCTGTAGCCTCTATTCCCTTTTCCCAAAAACTACCATCTTTATCTCTTCTGGAAACGTTCCCTAACCCTAACCCTAAGCCTGTTGGGAAGCATGTGTTTCCCTGGTGCTCAAGATAAAACTTGGCAAGTTTATTTGTGTTCCTCAAGGATTTCCTCAATACCAAATGTGATACAAGCCTGACCCTTGGTCCTGGCAGGGTGCCCCTAGGTTCAGGGTGTATTGCGTGATGAGGTGGAAAAGAGTTTACACTTGAGAATCTCACATATCTGCTTTCAAATCCTGGTCTGTCACCAGATCCATGATATTGAATAAGTCACTAAAGCGCTCTGAGCCTTGCTTTCCTTATTTGTAAATTTAGAACAATAATGCTCATCTCATAATGTTACAGTGATTTAGAGAGAAGGCATGTGAAAATCCCCTAGTAACTGCTCTAAATATAACCCCCCTTCTTTTCCACAAAGTGGTTTACAAATTAATGAATTTTTAAAAATGAACAGCTTTCCCAAGTAGCAGTACTTACCTTATTTATAGAAACTTGTACTACCAGTTTCTGAAGACAGGGGAAAACCAGGTTTCTTGGTAACTTGCCTTGGCCCGTCTCTAGCATTTAGCTTTGGAACATTGTGCTCTTGAGGTGTGTCGTAGTATGTCCTGATCAAAGGTCAAGTCTAGTTGTGCCAATGATGTTGATACATAAGGGTCCCTTATGTAAGGGTTACGAGGCTCCATGAGGTCCTCGGATATGACAAGGTGGAGTCTCTAGCCTTTGGGTGATAACCATTTATCAGAGAATATAAGATATTTACATAAGTAACAATTACACATGATAGTGATATGACATAAGAGATTTATAGAGAAAATGCTGTGGCAGTTTAATAAGGAAAAATTACTTCCAGCTGGAGAAGATCAAAAATGAGTTCACTCATTCAGTCAATAGAGATTTATCATAGGGTGTCTGTGTAAGATATTAGGCTAGACACTGGGGATGCAAAGATTTAAATTATATTATACTTGCTTTTATGGAGCTAAGAGCTTAGTAGGAAAGAAAGTCACACAAAATAATTACAGTACTATGTGGCAAGGACTTTTATAGTGGTATGTCCAATTTACTTTGGAAGCAGAGATCAAGAGTAATTACCTCAGGTTACAGACAGTATAGAAAGAAATGATGTTTGAGCCAGTTCTTGAAGAATAAAGAGGAGTTTACCAGATAGAGAAGATGGGAAAGGGTATTCATTAAGGAGTTGACCTTTTATCTTGAAAAATG